ACAAAACTTAAATTTAATTTAAAAAAAAAAAATACCGCGAAATCACATAATGTAACACGTGGGAAATTGCCTGTTTGTGGCCATTCTAAGCCATGAATTAGGTCATCAAATACCTGTGCACCCCACCAAATACTTTCCACACCCAAAAGTTTCTTGATAATCCAAAATTGCAATAGTGCATTTAAAGCATACAGTAATTTCATGAACTACAAATAGCAATACATTTTATGTTTAATTTTTGAAAAGGTCAAAGGTTAAAACTTTTTATATTTTCAACATTTGATAAATTTTATGCAACAATGAATTGTTTGTTTGTGTGTGTGTCTATATCTCTGTGTGTTAATCATTTCTATTTTCCATTTTACATTTCAAATATAATTATTTAACAGTACTAATTTGTATCAGAATTCATTGATTTAAAAAAAAAGAATTTGATTTCAATTTCATAAATTCTAATAATATTTAATTACATTACTGTATCATTTAATTATTAAACATAAAAATCTGATAATAAAATAAATGATATAAAATTTGAATTGAAAATGAAATGATAGTAAAAATTTTTTGCTTCATTTAATTGTTGCATTATAAATTGTAAAATTAATTTTGCTTATCAGAAATTCTGATAAAATTAAAAAAAAAAAAGATACTAACCAAATATGCACTGATAAGAAAACGACCAGATGATAAATGACGATGCATTTTACCAACAAATGTTGAATGTATATCACGTTCATATGTTAAAAATGATGCAATTTTTTCCAAATTTTTTAATCGATCTCTTACAATCATATTTGATCGAATATTACATGTATCACAAATTACGCCTACTTTTATACCTATAATTTAATTTTAATTAAAAAACTTATTTACTTAAAATTTTAATTCGTGCAAAAAAGTAATACAATTTATTATGCTAATTTTATTGCGCTAAAAAAAAAAAAAAAGTAGAAGAATGTTGAAGGTATGATAAAATCTGAATAAATTCCAGATTAATTGGAAATGTATTTGTTTAATTGATAATGAATAACTTATTTGAAATTATTAATAAGTAATCAATTATACGGAATGTTTTAATGGGTTATTTTTTCATATATTATCATATTAAGAATCATATCCAATAATTAATGTCATATATGTAATTAATCAAATTTACCGTAACGATTCTGTTAACTTCTTACCTTATTAGCATATCTTTTACCTTAATAAATATAAGCTTATACTTTTAATTTAGTAAATTAGCTATTATTTGTATCACAGATATAGAATTATCATTTATTTTCATTAGGAAAAAAAATCATTATAAATTTAAAGGTGGAATTAAATTAAAAATTGAATTTTTAGTCCTCAATAGGTTTAATAATTTACTTTTATTCATGAATTGTAATTAAAATAGGAAATAAATAAATTAAAGCTAATTGGAATGAAATGTAATTAAAAAAAAAATTTTCAAAAAATAAAAACTAGTTACGGTAGAATTACCTATGGTAGAATATAATGTACGCCACATAACAACCGGTAAATAGAATAATACAGCTTGAAAGGCGAGAATAAATGGTACCCATTGGTAATAGCCTGAAAATTTTGACTGATAAATAAATTTAGGATTGTTCGAAATTTTAAAAGTTCAATTTTCAAATTTTTCCTTGTTTGAGAAATCGAATCAATAATTTCTAAAATAATTTAACAAAATAATTGATAATAATTCCCAATGACTGATAATTTCCATAATTTGATAATTGATAATTTGGAAATTTTTTAATTAATTGCCAATAATTGTTAATCAATTTCTCAGCAAATATATTTAATAATTAAATAAATTAATTTAAAAAATTTAAGCAATCTGTATGAATGATTAATTGAATAATTATCTGAATAATATCACTAATTATTGCTTTTTTTTTGCATACATAGCATTTAATGTTTAATTGTTACGTAATTCTCCGTAAATTACCTTTTTTTTTCGTCATCCTAAATTGACCTATATTTACCTATTTATTACTTATCATTTGTTTCATTTAATTAATTTACATACGTTCTTCTAAACTGATTTACGCTTACTTACTTATCCCTTATCAACAGGTTCATTCAACTAATTTATCTTACCTTTTTCTAAACTAACTTATGCTTACTTACTTATTTCTTATCAACCACTTCACTTAATTAATTTATTTCCTTTTTTCTAAACTAATTTACGCCTACTTATTACTGGTTCATTTAATTATTTGACTTATTTTTCCTAAATTAATTCACGATTATTTTCTTAATATTTACACTTATCAGTTTCTTATCATTTCTTATCTAACTATTTAGAAATAAAAATTTCCTTTGCATGATTTTAAAACCTTTCCTCCTGGCAATTTATATAATTTTAATTTTGATTAACATTCATCTTTCCTAAAAATTCGATCATATATTATCCGGAATAGTAATTACTAACCAATTAGACGATCCTGACGTTGGGTGATATTTTTTGGTACTGGAATTACATGTTCCGCAATATCCCAATAATTTTCCGGAACAGCATCAGTAAAGGGTATAAAATATGTGTTCTGTATAAAACAATAATCTAATGCATATTCAATCCACCAACCTGAAAAATGTATATCAAATTTTGAAATTAATTAAATTTCACTTATAGATAATTTGCTAAAAGTTCATTTTTCTTTTTTTAAAATTTTATTAAAAGAATTTTTTCAGCTAATTTTAATAAATTATAGAATTAACAAATATGATGAAATGTAAATTTTCGACATTTATTAGCTAATTGCAATTAACATTTTACTTCATTAATTGACTAAAATAAACTGATAACATCGTACAGAAATGATTGATGATAAATAATATTCGATACACAAGTAATAATATATAAAATTTATTGATTTTCTATAATATTTAATTTATACAAATCGAATTATACTATAATACTCAAATGATATAAATTATAATCATTTGCATAACTAATAAAACAATAAATGAAATAGCAAAAATAAAAATGAAACGAAACAAATAACATAAATGAAATTAGAAATTAAATTCAATTAATTTTTTTTTGGTTAAAATTTAAAACTTTTGAAATATAATTCGATAAAAATTAAAAACTGTAAAATAGTACCTCGATAATAAGCTGGAAACCAGCATTGTATTGGTGAGCCAACAAAACTGAAATAAATTAGCACTAAGGAAAATTTGAAATTAAAAATTTTAAAACGAAATGGATGTAAATATACTTTGTAAGTAGTAATTTTGAAAAGATTAAATTTTAAAATTTAATAAAAAGTTTGTAGAAAAATTATATTATATGCAAGAAAAAGAGGAAAAAATCAGTAATGATCGATTTTAGTATTAGAAAAAATGTACGCATCGATTTGCATACTTTTTTAAAATTATTTTATCATTCAAATTTAAAATATTAAAAGAAAAATTTTTAAATTTTTATAATAACAATTAATATTTTAATTAATTGATTAATTGACTGGCTAAAATAAATTGATACTACCATGCAACAATATATTCTGTTTTAATCAAAAAGAAAAGTAATTAGGTGGAAGGATTATTATTGATTAAATTTTTGAATTAAAATTTATTTTTTGCGAAATTTTTTCGAAAATTTTATGAATTTATCGAAAAATTTGATAAAACATGAGAATTCATATTAAAGAAAAAATAGAAATATATATATATAAATATGCAGAATACATAGGTCAAAGGTTAACATGTATCAGGAAATCAGAACAGTTGCATATAATTTCCAAAATTGACAAAATGAAAGCGCATTTTTATCAAATGATACGCGGTAAAATTGACAAATTAGCATATAAATTAAAAAAAAATTATTAGATTGACAGATTAGTATTGATTTTAAATAGTTTTTGACAGACGATTAGGCATAAATTATATTAATTTTTTTAATTTTTAATTTTTTTTAGTTTTCTAAAAAATTTTTTACTTTTTTTCATTTTTATTTTATTTCTAAAAAATTCTTCAATTTATTTTTTAAATTTTCAAAAAATTTTATTCATTTTTTTTGAAGTTTTTGTTTCATTTTGATAATTTACTAATTGAAGATAATAATTCGAATGATTGGAATATTCAAAAATTTTAAAATTAATCTTTTTCTGTTACTTTTCTTTTTTGTCCAATAGGAATGAAAATAAACAATGAAGAAAACAATAGGAAATTGAAAAAAAAATCCCATTAAAATCATTTATATTTTATATTTAATTCATTCATTTTTGAAAAAAAATTCTTTTCTTTTTTTGATAAAAACTTTTTATTTTAAAATTTTATTTAAAAATTTCTACCAAAATTATAATTTTTTTCAATGTTTTTCAAATTAATTAACAGTGGAAAGCAAGAGAGAACAAAAAACGAAAGGTTAATTAAATTTATATGATTAAGTTGAAAATTCAAATTAAATCATTTATGAATCGATATTTTTGTTTTTATAAAAATATTTTTGTTTTTATTTTTTTTTTATAAAAAAGTTATTTTTTTTTTAATATGAATAAATTATTAATAATTTTAATCATTCTAATGATAATAAAAATATAAACCTCCATCCGCTAATGAATGCTGATAGTATGACTAAAATAGTGGTAGTAAAGCAATAATTAATACGATCAACAGTGTCACCATCAGGTAATGGTGTGATGGCTCGTAGTAGACTACGTACAACATCCATATATGATTGGTATTATTTTTGTTGAGATCTAAAATATAAAAATTAAAAATGGAATAAAAAATTATTTAGCAAAAGAAGGCAAAGATGAAAAAAAGAAGAAGAAGAAAACTTTTCTCTTCCTTTTTTTTTTTTTTCTTTTTAAATCGTTTCACATTTTTTTTTTCTTTAAATTATACAAAATAATTTGAATATTTCATTTAAGCATTGATTTTTCTTTTTTCATTCCTTGATAGATAAGATACGTGAGATAAAGTGAGATACGTGAGAAAGGTGAATGATATGAAAAGATGTAGAAATAATAATTTTACATATAAAAGCTATCCAATCATTTCATTATTGGACATGTGAGAAACGTGAATGATATGAAAAATTGTAGAAATGATTTTACATATTTTAACAAAGCATTAATTTAGACATATGAGATATGTGATATGTGAAACGTGAAACATGTGAAATATGAGAGATATGAAAAGATGTAGAAATGATTTTGCATATGAAAATTATGCATTGATTTTATTACTAGACACGTGAGATACGTGAGATACGTGGAAAATATTAAAAGATATAGAAATGATTTCTATTTGAAAAAAAGAGAAAAGTAAAACAATTGTTTTTTTTTTAAATTTTTCTAACTAAAAAAAGATTTCTCAATTATTTAACTAAAAAAAAAGAAAAAAAGAGAGACTTTTAACTTTTCATAATCTTTGATAAATGTTGCATAAGTGTTAATTTAAAATTTTAAAATTTAATAAACAAAATTCAAATTTTCATTTCTTTCATTACTGTCATTAATTTTAAATATTGATATATTACAGGTGAAAATTCCCCTCATAATTTAAGCATTCCTCTGTTTCTCCTTTTTTTTTAATTTTCATGCTAATAATAAACCTAAAATCTCTCTTTCTTTTCCTTTCAATCTGATATTAGTACCACTAGTTTCAGGTACCATTATATATCACTAGTACCATTCCAGGTAATAAATCCTGATAATAATTATTATTATTTATTAATTTCTACCTTCATCTTTCAAACAACAATGAATTGTAAGTAGCAAATGATCCCCGCTATTTCCTTCATCCTATCCTTTACAAATATCTCTTTGTTGATGGATCAACTATCGAACATAAATTCTTCCCGCTATTCCCGCTTTTTTTTCGCCTCTCTTCACCTTCCCAGATATCTTAAAGAAATACCATTCCTCAATTTTTCTTTTTTTTTCTACTTAATTTTATTTTCTTCATACAGAATGATTAGGTTGAAGGAAAAAAAAAAAAAAACAAGAAATGAGACACTTAATGATTATATTCTGGAAATTAATTTAACTTATTCCAACTTTTTTTTTCTTTTTTGTTTTTCAAAATTTATCCAATCAAATGTTTTAATTCGAAAATATTTCATAATAGATGAAAGTTGGAAATGCTAATCAATACGGTTTAGATTATCCATTAATTAATTAATTAATTAATTAATTGATAAAAGAATGCTTAATATGATATTAATTTTTGTCCATATACTCATATTAATTTAGCATAATTTTAATAATAAATGTTTCATTTACTTTTCAAACATTTAAATTCATATGACATGATCATTGATCATTTTCACGTTATCTATCTATTATCATCTATCATTACCTTTTACATCATTAATTATCAGTATGTTTTCAACAAAGATAAAAAAAAAGAAACTTTTTGTGAAATTATTGACTAAAGTGAAAATTTGATTGAAAATGAAATAATAGAAAATTCTAAATGGAAATAACGAAATAATTAGTTGAAATTAATATTTTTTAATTCATTAAATAAGTACTATGGCATGAAATATTGGAATTGAAATATCGATGAAATGAAGAAAGAAGAAAAGAGAAGGAGAAAGAGGAGGATGAGAAGGAGGAGGAGGAGGAGGAGGGAGAGGAGGAGAAAAAGGAAAAGACGGATACAACATTGGTATGCAAATTTATTTCTAGCAATTCAATTTCGGGACAGCTGCTATAACAGATGAGAGAATGAAGTGGAGAGCAATAGCGGGGGAGAGGACCGTGGAAACGGGGAGAGGAGGGGAGGCGGGGGAATCTAGAAATGGCACATGTGTGGGTGTGGGTGTGGGTGTATGTGTGTGTGTGTGTTACAATAGCATCAAATACCTGTTACAGATTTATATTTCATCCCTTCAAACTAACTTGAATTGCAAAATGTTTTGTTGATAGTAATGAATGAAGGAAAAGGTGGGAGAGACGTGGGGGAGACGGGGCGGGGGAGAGGAATGGTATAAGTTTGGATGGTAAAGGTGCATAGGTAAACATCTTATTACCTTCCTCGCTCTTACTAAAGTTGTAAATATGAATTATTGAAAAGTGGAAAAGAGAAGAAGAAGGAGAATGAGATAGTCGGGAGAAGATTGGGAAGAAAGAAAGGTATGAAAGTATTTGGACCGATAGATGAGAAACCCGATGGGGTAAATCGGGAATAGCAAATGGATGATGAAAAATAGGCGAAAAGGATGTAGGAAAAGAAAAGAGACCTTGCTGATGACTGTTGTGGAAATATGAATTATTGTCACCTCGAAAACTACCCATCGTCCCATCATTATCATCAAACAGCAAAATGACATACGTAAACGAAAAATGAGCCGGGAGAGGTGGAAATGGATGAGATAGTGATGTGAGGTAGGCGGGGGAAAGAGAAAATTTGATATTGATTCTATGATCAATGAGCATTATAAACGAAATTTAATTATGTAAATTTTGAAAATGAAAAAGGAAATCTGGAATAAATTAAAATTTAAAAATAAAAAAATAAACAAATGAAATTTTGTTATTAAAAGAGAAGAAAAAAAAAAAAGGAAAATGAGTGAAAAATGTGTAATGTTTCCCTGAGATTTTTTATTAAATTAATTGATTAAAATTTAATTTAAGAGGAAAAAAAATGAATGATAGAGAAATTGAAATATTATTTCCAATATTGTTAATTTGATTTACGCAAAACTTTTAAAATAAACATCAATAATTTTATCGTTTTTTAATTTTATGAAAATTAACAAATATACAAAAGACAAAATGTAAGGTATAAAATGAGAAATAAAATGATGAAAAATGGAATTACCGGATAAATTGTAATCAATAAATTGATTCATAATCAAATAGCTTATCAGAAATGATAATGACTTCCGTTTGAATTAAGCAATTCAAATTTTTTTTTTCTTTAAAAAACAGTAGTACTATAAAATGAAAATTATTTAACTATCATATTTTCAATTCTATTTTATCATTCTAATCATAATCATTTTATCATGTCACTATTCTTCACATCATATCACTATTACCTTAATTAGCTTGTAGCTTGCATATTGCTATCATCATACCAATTCTTATCATTTTACCATTATCTTATCGATATCATCTAATTATCACATCAATATGGCTACTTGTTCCTTACAACGAAATATATAGAATATGAAAGCATTAAATAATAATATATGCAATACATTTATTACTTCCATTGCAATTACAAAATATTATTTCTAATATCTATAAAGTGTACTATAATAATTTATCAAATTTTGGTGAATTACCGTATAATTATCGTATTTATCAAATTTTTTTTTGATAGAGTATTAATTATCATATTTATCAAATTTCGATAGTATACCGTATAATTATCATATTTGTTCAAATTATATTAATAGAGTATCGTATTAATTATCATAATTATCAAATTTCGATAGTATACCGTATAATTATCATATTTGTTCAAATTATATTGATAGAGTTACTCGTATTAATTATCATATTTAGC